AATTATTATGCAAACGTGATGAAAAAGGTATATTTGTGAATAAAAGAAATCCATGTGGCAAAACAAAAAAAATTAGAAAAAAAAATTATAGAAGCAAAAACTACGTGAATTGATTCAGAAGCCTGTGACCCTAGATTGACCCCAGGAAGAATGCTATAAAAGAAGAGGGAAGTGAAGGTAAGAATCAGTTCTCCCCTTGTCGTGGCTCCAGAGAGGGACCCCGAGAAGGAGCTCCGGCTGGAGCTCTGGGGCTGGAGCTATGGAGCTTGAGCTATGGAGCTTGAGCTATGGAGCTTGAGCTCTGGAGCTGGAGCTCTGGAGCTGGAGCTCTGGAGCTGGAGCTCTGGAGCTGGGGCTCTGGAGCTGGAGCTCTGGAGCTGGAGCTCTGGAGCTGGGGCTCTGGAGCTGGAGCTCTGGAGCTGGAGCTCTGGAGCTGGAGCTCTGGACCTGGAGCTCTGGAGCTGGAGCTCTGGAGCTGGAGCTCTGGAGCTGGAGCTCTGGAGCTGGAGCTCTGGAGCTGGAGCTCTGGAGCTGGAGCTCTGGAGCTGGAGCGCTAGAGCTGGAGCTATGGAGCTGGAGCTCTGGAGCTGGAGCTCTGGAGCTGGAGCTCTGGAGCTGGAGCTATGGAGCTTAAGCTCTGCAGCTGGAGCTATGGAGCTGGAGCTATGGAGCTTAAGCTCTGGAGCTGGAGCTCTGGAGCTGGAGCGCTGGAGCTGGAGCTATGGAGCTGGAGCGCTGGAGCTGGAGCTATGGAGCTGGAGCTCTGGAGCTGGAGCGCTGGAGCTGGAGCTCTGGAGCTGGAGCTCTGGATCTGGAGCTCTGGAGCTGGAGCTATGGAGCTGGAGCTATGGAGCTTGAGCTCTGGAGCTGGAGGTCTGGAGCTGGAGGTCTCGAACTGAAGAAAAATGAAATGCTGGGGGAGGATCTTCTGTGAAGTTCAAGATAATTTTTTTCAATTCCTGGAACTGAAATCAGACGATTCAGGCAGCGAGATGGTCCACGAGAAACAAGATTATTTGGAGCGTTCCTGATGGTTCAGACTGAAAATAAGAAAGAAATGAAGTGAATGATCTTTGTCGCGGCAGCAGAGGCTTCAACGATATTGGAACAATAAACTCTCAAGAAGGATCGCAATGCTGGCGCTCATCGGATAAAAACCGAAAATCGATGTCCCTGTTATATCGAACCTTGGGGGACCCCACCGGTGAAGAAGGTCCTAACTCAGAATCCTAACCTAATCAATAAAGTGCTGTTGAATCAGCTGATGATCCTATTCTTGACTTATTTTGCACTGCAATGAATGGTGGAACATTTGTTCCATATTCTTTGTGATTTTAGCCGCGAAATCTAAGATATAGCAGGTCATAATCCATAGCAGGTGATCATGAAAACGACTACCAGAATTTCACAAACTACCAAAAGAGAATCTCCAAACCATCAATTTTGAACTCAATTATTTCGTTTCCTGTAAAAGATATCGAAAATTGGTCAACTAACAAAATATTTTTGATAGTATGATAAACATTTTTTTAGTTTACTACTTCTTGATATCTTTCACAGGAACCGAGATAAATTGGCTCAAAGCTGAAAGTAAGAGGGCTCCTTGTATTAGAGTGTTCACGGTATATGGCATAACTTTTGACGAAAACGCAGAATTTCCCGGAATACCCAGAAATGTTATGTTTATTGTCTTATTGATGTGTACTTTCTTCATCAGCCTTTTCTAGACCCCACTGATTCTCCCTAATAACTCAAAATTCCTCTAATGGATCATTGTCTCTACTTGGATTAGGCTATCTTTCTTGTTGGTTTTATTTACTGCTTTGAGATTATTCGTATTATTCCATAAGGCAAAAAAAAACCAAGTAAGGGGCGTAACCCTAGACACATGCGGTCCAAAGGGAAATCCACGTAGTTGGATGCTATATAAGGTGAAAAGATTCGAGGTTATCATCAGTCTAGGTCTAATTTGTCTGTTTTTTTTTGGTAGAATATATGAATACAAGGTTATTGTAGTAGTAAAAAACTTGGCGAATCTGTGGTTTTAAAAAATAGGGCACTGTTCTCAGACCAATGCACAAACCTTTCAACTAGCCTAATCAGTCTAGTTGTTCGTGGAACTTTTTATGACGCATACTAGAATTCTCGTTCACTATCCATCCAGATCTTCGAGCTATGTCTTCTCACCGTGATTACTATGATTCACGGAAGTCTGCGCCATATAAGCTCACTTTATGTCGTATTTTGTTTACCTCACTAAATACCTTTTGATCCATGGTGCAACTTTCTTAAGCAGCCCTTTTCCCCCAATTTAAGCTCTATACGTTTTCAGAAACTCGTATTCATGAACCGCATCATCCAATACGGAAGTGTTGAGGGTATTCCGTACTACAACTGTAGTGCAAAAACCTCCGAAGAGTGGTTTGCCACTGGTCTCCAACGTCCACTCTTCGGATGGACTATTCTAATTTTTGGAATTGTCATCGAGATGTTTTACATCCCAACCATATATATGATGTTCCGAACAAAGCTGGTTCATATGACCTGCTACAAGATTATTGTGTGTCTTGGAGTCACTGATATGCTCGCCACGTGTAAGTGAAGAATCTGATTAGAACGGTCTGAAAATTCAGAAGTTTTAGTGACTTGTTCAATCTTCAGTGGCTGGTTGTTCATTCAGGGAGCGGTTTTTTGTAACTATCCGACTTTCATCTACTTGGCTGGCATGTTGGGATTGAGTGAGTGAGGAAAGGAAAGCTTTTGGTGGCCCCTCCTAACTTTTAACTTTGACTCAATTTATCTCGGTTCCTGTAGGAGATATCAAAAAGTGGTCAACTGATAAAATATTGGTGATATTAAGGTAAACATTTTATCAGTTTATTACTTTTTGATATCTTTTACAGGAACCGAGCTAAATAGGCTGAAAGTTAGAAGTTAGGGGGGGGGTACGTTCTTTTGGAGTTTTTACAATATGTCCCATTGAAATGGTACCACACCTTCCTAAAATACTAATTCTAACATCTTTTTATCTCAGAATGTGTTCTATTAGAATATGCATATTTGAAAACCCTAAATTTGTACGTTTAGTCGTAAACCTTACCATGCGCCTGTATGATCACGGTGGGGAATATTCCCCCTTTACGGTAGTTTGAAAATAGTGATAGTGTTCGTTAGAAATGAGAATAGTGCATAAAAAAGCATTTTTTATCCTTTGAGTACAATTAAATCTAACCCAGGTGGCTGGTGTATGGCTTGCGGATCTACCCTTCTTCTTGTTGTTAACCGCGTCATTGATGTCCTTTACCGTCCGTTATCCGAGTTCCTTTTCGATGGAAAACGCGTATTTTTCTCCATTGCTTTGATCGTTGCTTATGGTTTGATCGTTGCTACGTTCTCCCCTTCAATCATATTCAATTCGGTTATTATGGCATGGATAGCGGATCCTCTTACCATTGATCCCGAATACAAAACCGAAGATATTTCTGACTTTGTAAGAAGGCTCTTATTCCCAACTTCCCTGTTATAATCTCTATTCAGTACCGTAACCATGTGCAATCCACTAACAACTGGATCTTTGTCTCCTGCACCTGCTCCCTTTATACCGTCTACTGCGTGCTCGTCAACAAGATGCAAAGAGGTCAGAAATCGAAAGCATCACGAAGTGTTTTCATTCAATCAAGCATCATTTGTTCATTCAACACCTTTGCCGCCATGTGCTACAATGCCATGGTGTTTATTCCTCCTCCACCATGGGTCGTCGTCATTGGAGAGCTGTGTTGGTCTTTAGTTCATGGATGTCCAGCTATCATTTACCTTACAATGAATCGAACGATTCGTTCTGAGTTTTTGAAGTTTTTGAAGATTAAAAAGCCTAACAAGGTAGGACTTCTTCGATTACTATTTCCGCTGTAAACTTTGTGGGTTTGTAGGTTCAAGTTACAAGTCGTGTGAATGATTCATCGATATTTTCGTAGAGTTATATTATATTGTTTCGTATTTATATTGGGATTTTGTCGTCCGTTCTTCCAAGGAAGACTGTTCTGGACTTTCCAAATCTATAAAATTTAGAAAAACGCTTTTTCAGAAAGTCACCGATATCTCATCGACCTCCAACATGCGCCACACTGGAATGTCTCCTACCAGCAACTAATTTTCTGAAAAACCTTATTCTTTATATATTTATCCCGAAATTCTGATTTCTTGATTTACTGATCTACTCACTGTGAAATAAAATTTTGTACTCTTTTGTGGATTTTTCTGCCGAGGGATCGTTGGATTGGAGTAAACCAACAAAGCCGATCAAAGTGGCCATTTTTCTCTTTTCCATTTTTTTTTGGTTTCAGTTTCAGAACATTTGGGTTTTTGTGAAGATGAGTTAAAATTATTCGAAACTTTAAAAGTGTTTCAAAATTTCTTGGAATAAAGTTTGTTCCGTATTTTTAGTATCTTTTTAAATCACTCCAGTGACTTGTACAATTCAGCCAGATACCGTATTTGCTCTAATACAAGAAATTCGCCAAACTTTGAGATCGATTACCTCAGTTCCCATGAGAGATATCGAAAATCGGTCAACTAATAAAATGTTGGAGATATTATGATAAACAATTTATCTATTGAACAGTTTTTATATCTTTTGAAGGAAACGAGATAATTCATCTCGAAGTGCAAATACGGTTTTCTGCTACCGTACTACTAGGATCTCATATACATATTTTTTGACGCCTAAAACGTGAATTTTTTCAAACCGAAAATGCTTTCATAATCACACGGAAAACCTTCTGAGAACCAGGTCTAACACGATTGACATTGACATTTGAAGTTATTGAGGCACAAGCCGAGCAGTCAAGAGCCCTGATGGTCTGCTTCTCCATCCGTATACACACTATATCATATCTGTCTGTACAGTACCTATATCCTGTCTGTGGTGTGTTCTACATCTGTGTTGGTTTTGAATACACGAGTAGTTGGGGTGAGCCGCGCGTTTTTTGTTGAGGTCCTGAGAAAATATTGTGAGTGGAAAAGAGAATCAGAGAAATCCAGAGGGGAGGAAAATGAGCATTTTCCAAGTAAATGATAACCAGAGAAACCGCGCAATTTCTCACTTACCCATATTGATTTCTAGACCGTTTTTTTCAACTTTGTGATAGTTTTTTGATAGACCATTAGGATCTGATAGGGCCACACCTGATTAGGAGTGAAAAAATTATTAATGTATAGAAGTCACACTGGTGAGCTACGCATCTTTCAAACCTCTAACCTAACTTTTGACTTTGAGCCATTTTTTCTTGGTTCCTGTCAAAGATTTCAAAAAAGTACCAACTGATAAATTGTTTATCATAATATCAGAAGTGTTTTGTCAGTTGACACATTTTTGATATCTTGCATAAAAAAAAAAGAAAAAGCTTAAACTTGACACTTTAAGGACCCTTCTATTACAGATTTTACGGTATACGAACTCGATGATTCAGCTTTCTGACTAATTAAATTTTTTGGGGTGTGGTCATACAGTTCCGAGACATATCCCTTGCTCTTGTGACTCACTTTATTTGGTACTTGAGTGTTGTTTACAACTCGATCGAAGGCCAAAAAGGAATCATTCAGGAACAATAGGTGATGATGCTCATATATAGATCCTTTTCTGCGATTGGTTGATTCTGTTTTTTAATTTCGATCTGGTTTTTTGGGAAAAATTTCATCTGAATTAGGAATAATCACATTAGCCTGATTACATAACAGTTGCCTCTATTCTTCAGAGTTTCAAGAAAATACATAAATCAAAAAGTTTCAGATGAGATTATTTTGGTTTTGTGACTTAAATTATTGTTGTTACTAGAAATAAGAATAAATGAAACTGAAAAAAGCTAAACAGTCTCCGGTTCGCGGTGAAAACTAATTTTCGAATTTCAGTTTCCGTAATATAAGCCTCCATTCCCAAATCGTCATCGTTGAGCCCATATATCTCGGTTCCTGTGAGAGATATCAAAATGTGTCAATTGAACAAATGGTTTTGGGATTGTGGTAAATATTTTATCAGCTGACCACGTATTCGTATCTTTGATAGGAACCAAGGAAAACTAGCTTAAACTTGACAGGGTAGGGGCCCTTCTGTTACAGGATTTACGCTACCTGATTTTCAGCACTAAAACTATGTCTATCTTTATCTTTTTTCCCTGTTTTATATTTCTAAATTGGTCAATTATTGTGACCAATTCCAATGGTCAAGAACGACATCAAAGTTTCCTTCCTGGACCTAATTTTCTATCCTCTTATTTCTTATTTCTTTTTTCTTTCTCTTCCGCCAATCTGTGCACTTTTTCCCCTAGTTTTCATGCTCTTAAACATGCTCATTTTGTGTCTCTCAGTGTGCCAACAGCACTGTTTACCCGACAGATTACCTTTCCTCTGTTAGTCCATTCTCTTGCAAATCACTGGCTAACTCTGACGCGTTTTTTGTGTCCGTGGCTCATGTGAACATGCAAACGAGACGAAAGATTCTCTCTCATTACAGTTTTTCTTTGTTTCAAAACGAATTCTTGTCAACCCTGCGACTCTTGCTTTTTCGATTATGTCTTCTGTACAATCTTCTGGCTCTTGATCTACTACCTCCAAGTTTTTTTGTTTCCGCGCGGAAAGCCCTCTCAAGTGCTTTACTTATTTCTCTCTCTCTCTCTCCGTGCCCAAGGCTCACGTATTATCACATCATTCGTCTACCAAATCATGCCGACACCCTTTTCTGTACTTTTTCTATTCTAATTCTGTTTTTTCTTTTTTGACAGAAAATCTCATTCCAATAGGTCACAACACCTAACAAAGTACAAGAAGTTATTTTTTGAAAAAAAGTACAAAGTAGAAGAAGAGGAGAAGCTTTTAATCCGACACAATGTCATGTTCCCTGTTTGTGGCAGAAGTTCGCGGTTCGAGAAGATGCTCAGTTTGCAGGTAAGATTATGTCAAGTAACAAAAGTGTAGAAGGCAGAAAATAAAACTAGAAGACTCAGTGGTCAGATGTCTAAAAGAGGAAAAAAATATTTTTAAAAAATTATGTATGATGAGAAACGTACAAGAGTCAGAGCTCTGCCATTCGTTCCTCTGAATGTTTTCTGTAAACACTCTTTCAGAAGGCCACCTAATTTTGAGCTCATATACCTCGGTTCCTGTGAAAGATATCAAAAAGTAATCAACTAAAAAAGTATTTTTGATATTATGATAAACATGTTATCAGTTGACAACTTTTTATATCTGTCAAAAGAACCGAGATATAGTAGCTCAAAATTTACGGTTTGGGTGGCATAAAAGAAAGGTAAACTTTCCGTAAAACCCAAAAATTTCTATTCCAAAAACTAAAAAGCAATTGGCTTTAAAAAACAATCTGCCAGAATCCAAACATATAAAATACTACATGATTTCAGATGCGACATATCCGCACATGAGCCAGCTGCCATATATGTCCAACCAGAACGAATATTCTCGAATATTCCTCCAATCGCAACGTCTTCAAGTGGAACTAACAACAATAACAGTATCAATAATTTTAGTAGAAGGTATGCCCAGCTTCAATAATCTTTTGATAATATCCTAAATCATGTTGATATCCAATATTTGTTTCATCGAGAATTTTCTCACACTCTCTCGCTCTTCCTATTAATAAAATGGAACAGCCGAAACCGTCAGAAAATATAAGAGATGTGAGGAGACGCAGGGGAGCACAGGGAAGTTTGATTTGTCTTGATTTGACGTGATCCGAGCCAATAATGATTTTGGATTGCGCCGAGCACAGCAGTCTAGTGCTCTTGCCCAGATTCTCCACACATTATCATTTTATCATTTCCGCTATCGTTTCTCGCAAAGCTCACGACGAGTGTATTCTATTATCCTTTTTCTTTTTCTTTCAGTGTCTCTTGTTTTCGGATCTTTCTATAGAGTTTCAGAATCTGGAGTGACTAGTAAAACTCTATTTTACTTTTGTATTTTTTTATTACTTTTACAACTTCTCCTATAAGTGGAAATCGTGCGAAGCAAGAACTGAATGAAGAACACATACAGGAAAGCTCAAAAAAGTTGAAAGTTTTTAGCTTTATTGTTTTCTATGAAGAAAAGTTTGAAACTTTTTTTATCAAACTAAAAAAAATTCAATGTACGGTATACAGTCACCAAAGGTTTCGTAAAATTCCTTTAACGAAGATATTCAGTTTGAAACCAGAAAAAATTCAAACCTGACAAAGAAAAAATTCACAACCTGACAAAGAAAAAATTCAAACCTGACAAAGTATGTATTTTATAAACTTGTGGTGCCATTTCGATGTGACATACTGTAAGAACTGTATTAGAAAGACCTTCCATTTCTCCGACCCACTCCCGGAGGGCCCTTCTATTAGAGTGGCCCTTCTATTAAAGGGACTCTTCTAATACAGTTTTCACTGTATCCAATGTCGATTAACTTTAGCAGAAAAAAAACAATTAACTACAATTAAGTTTCGTTTTGTTCTTTATACAACCATCAAGCCCTTTTTTTCAGACACCTCAATCCAAATTTTCAACAGAAGTGGA